TTAAACTTCCAGGAAAACCAGCCTTCTCTCTCAGGGCACCTGCTTTCCCCTCTAGGCATCCAGCAGGCAGTTGCAGGGGCTGGCGCGGGGGGAGGGGGCAAGACAGAGGCGGAACTCCAGAGCGTGGAGAAAGGAGGAAGGGAAGAACTGATAAACCAAGCTTTGACGAAATAAGTCAAGGAAGACCAGTGCCATTGAACATATATTTATTGAAATCTACTCGATGCAAGGCACTGTGCTAGATCTGGAAGGGGAATCAGACATGAAGGGTCACCCCTGTCTTCTAAGAGCTCACAATCTAATGGGTCCGGGAGGGTGGGGAGGGAGAAGCTCTAGTGCAAAGCAGATTAGAGTAAGTGCCATAAAACAGACAAGTTAAGGAGACTGGGGAGGAATGAGAAAATAGTGCCAGCAACCCAAATACAAACTGGGCAGGACATAGCCGTTCTCAGATCTGCAAGTAATGCTGAAGAGGCCATTTTTGTTTAAAGAGACCATTTCTACGTTTGAAAATAAACACCCAACTGATGCAATGAGAACTGCACAACGTAAGTATACTAGTCATACAGAAGTTATCAATTCCCCAATCTGACGGGTTTGCTACAAGTAGCGAGACACTTCCAAAATAAACAGGGTGGGCGGTGACTTAAACTCATTTCCTGGGGCAAACGTGGGGTCAGTACAGGAACAGTGCCCAGACAGAAAAGCATGGGTCAAACTCACCGAGACTAGGAGGCATAGATTTGCACCCACCCTAGCAAACAGAATACAGTACCACATTTAAAACAGGTGTTTACGACAGTCAGGTGGGCCTTGGGCCAGGAACGAGGGCCAGGTAGGACATGAGGAAAGCGAGCCGTGTTATTCTTCTCAGGAAGCAGCCAAATGGGACAATGCAATTGCTCTTGACAGACTGCAAAAAGCAGAGACCCGCTCAAGCTGGCCTAGGTCAAGGGAGTCTATGGCAGGGACACAAGTGGACCGGTGAGGGCAGTTGCCAGAGATCCCAGAAGGTAACCCAGTCAGGCCTCCCTTGCGGTGCTGGGGTGGAGGCTGCTCTGGGGGTGCCCAGCCGGAGCCCGCAGATCTTCAAGCTGGTGCTGCCCATGGGGGCAACTCCTCTAAATCCCAGGTGGCTCCCTCTTCCTTCCAGCACCAACTAGAAACTTCTCTCTCAGTTTCCTCGTTTGTACTCTTCACAGTTGGAGAACCCGAAAGGTCTGGCCCACGTCTCCAGCGCTGTGGACCGCTTGCTGCCTTTGAGTCAGGTGCTCAGTTCTGGTTGAATTAATGTGGCCTAGACGGGGTGGGGGCCACATGGCGCACAATGGGGCTGGAGCCCCAGGCACGCGGAATGCAACCCCACGCGACAGAGACTGACGCCCACCGTAACTGGGTGGGGCTCAGTCTGGAATGACACAACTAATGGGTATGACACAACTAATCCACACAGTTAATCTTGTTAAGCAGCAAAAGAGGTAAACAGTTACTTTCTTTTGAAAATTTCAGCAAGTATTCAAAACTTTAATAAAAGCAATGGAGGGTTTCTTTCAGAATATAAGAAAAGGGCCTATTTCGAAGGAGAGCCAGCATTCTGTATAACCCACCTGCTCTCCATTTGCCTTGCAAAAGGAATACGTGTGATTAGAAAGAAAAATGAAATGAGGTAGATACACAAATGCATAGACAAGCACACACAACAGCAAGTCTGATCACGTTTTGCATCTGACGTAGCAGTAGACCTAGAGAGTCCAAGGAAATCCACCCCCCAGGGACCAGAGGCAAACACTTGAACTCGGTGCAACTACAGGACACACATTAAAGCCACAGAGAGAGCACGGACTTCACCTGCAAACAGAGTGACGGAAAAGACGTGTTCACTCTGGCAGACAGTCTGTTCGAGAGAAAATCACAGAACCAAGAGTGGAACAAAGGAAAGGAGGGCATGACGGGATGCCAAGATGCCATGCCCTGGCTGGGGACAAGTGCAGCGGTGACGGCGACGCTAAGTTCTGAGTTTATACTGCATCTGGATCCTTCATAAAACCCGGGCAAGACATGGCAAGGTACTTCCAGGTTAAGGTGCCAGACTTGCCCCACCGTGGACGCCAACATTCCTGACCAAATAACAGTTGTAGCAAATACGTCATAACAGCTTTGACAAGAGAAAACTCACGAGAGAAGGAACACACAGATTCACAACTACTGCAAGAACTGAGGCCCCCAGAGCAGAAAGAATCACTACGCAACAAGTGCTGTCAGCTTCTCTCCAGCCCGGGGGTCAGGATGGAGACGTCACAGAGAGCCACTGGCGTGGCCTGGGGGCCATTCCAGAGTACCTTCTGGCTAAGGTTACAAGGGGCACTGTGGGGCCCTGCTTCCCAGCCTCTACCCCAGGCACAGCTGCTGGGAAGTCACACTACAGCCCCGGTGAGGCCAGCTTCTATCTGCGGGCTCTGCGGGCCGCTGGAGGAGCCAGCTTCCTGGCCAGCCCTTGCTGCTGAAAGTGACAGGCCGGCCCCAGGATGACCAACTTCTGCTTTTATGCCACGTGGGCCGTCGTCAGAAGGGCATCGTTGCCCTCCAAACCCTTGTTGTACTGCCCCTCCTGGGCAAGGCTGTTACAAGTCACAGCCCAGGCCTGGTGTGGCCGTCAGTGGGGCACGGTTCGTCTCCAAGCCTTTGCTCTGTCGCCCCTCTTCGGTGTGGCTGCAGGAGGTGACGTCAGAACACATGGGTGAATTTCCCCCTAGTTGCGAAAAGCAGAAGCCACCAAACTGACCTCTTTCTAGTTCCAGAATCACTCGCTAGGAGGATGCCATCCACGTGACAGTGCCAGTCGGGTAAGTCTTCTTGTGTTTCAGATGTCTCTTGGGTGGATCTGCTGCTCAGGCACTGAATCCACGCTCAGCATGGCCAAGGCTCCCAGGAGCTGGAAGGTTGGCCAGCTGCTGCCAAGACCAAGTTCGGACCACCCCGTTGATCTAGGTGAGGCCCAGCCCTGCTGCTGAAGGTTAGGGCTATACTGAGGAACAGTCAGAGTGTTCTGGCCAATCCGAGATGGAAATTCCTCTCGAGTGCCTGAGTGGCCAGGTTGGATAGTCAAGTACCGCCCACAGACATGCAGGGTCTGCATCTTGGATGAGGAGTGAGCCTGTGTCTCCGGCCCATTTCCATCCAGCCTGCCCACCTGGAGCATCCACCTTCTGGTGGGGCAGGGTTTTCAACTTTTCGTTTGTAATTCAAATTCTAGAAGAAAATGTCATCATCTCTAACTACTGAAGCAATGGAAGTTAAGACTTAACTGACAACAATGAATGTTTGGATACGTAAAAATCAAAAGCTTGCACAACAAAAATGTAATAAAACTGCTACAAAGAGCAAAGCAATAAAACTGGAAAAGAGATCATCACAATCCATACAGAAAGAACTGCTGTATAAAGTCAATATATCCAAAGGTAACTTGGTAATTGGTCAAAGGAGATGAACGTACTCTGCATGCACGAAAACAGAAACAGTATTTTAAGTCATCCCGTGAGAGAAAGAAGATGAGACTAGGAGTCAGGAGGCCTGGGTCCATCCTCAGTTTGGGTACTAATGAGTCACAGAACAACAGCAATAACCATGGTGATGATGGCAGATGACTTCGCTGAGTGTGTGCCTCCACGCCAGGCATGGCATCGCAGTCGTTGCGGTAACCTTCAGAGGTGGTCCTGTGATCATCCCCTTTTTACAAAGGTGGAAACGGAGGATTGGAAAAGTGCCATCTAGGCCCCATGTGCGAGGCTATCGCTCCCGAAAGGGGGGCGTCACCTTACACCTGAGTCCTTGCGACGTCCCTGTTATTACAGGGATGCTCTCTCAACTACCTGATTTTGAACAAAACAGTGCTGCTTGAGGACAAGACCCATTAGCCTGAAACAAACCCCATTCGACGCTAGTTTTGGATATGCCTGGGAGTCACCAGATTGAATTGGTTTAAGAAAAAAGGACACAAAACAAATTTAACTCAGATTTAGTATTTCTTCCTAAGAGCACGACCTCACAATGACGAGTCTTCGATGCTTTAAAAAAGCCTTTTAAAGGTCATTGAAAAAAAAGGAAAACCTTAAGTGGTTGCATTGTGCAGCTACAGAATAAATTAAAAAAACGACAACAATCATTCTAATGTTACACGAACCTGTACTTATGGCTTGGGAGGCGGTTTCTAGTGAGACCCTTGTGCAGGGATTGTCACAGTGCTATGTGGCACATAGCTCGGATGGATGGAAGTCATTGGATGTGTGCTTTGAAAATGATGACTCCAAAGGGCCTCTGAGGTTGGTGAAGACGGTGAGGTTAGAAATGCATACGAGGAATTAGGATAAAATGATCTCATGGAGTGGAGCTAGGGAGAAAAGGAATCTTTTCTAAATTAATATATTATTCTATATAATATGTGATTTACAATATGTATGTAGAACTAAATTAATAAATTAAATATTATAAGACATTTGATTATTCTATTTACAACCCTAAAAATTTATAAATTCAAGTAGGCCAAAAAAGTTTGGGGTGATCGATCTTCTGTCGGGGAAAGTCGGGATCACATTCTATGGACACCATCATTGAATAGCTCTGGGCCTCAGTTTCCTTGAAGGGGGAGCTTGCAGGAGAGGACCAAGCATCCCGAGCTCCACCCCCACGTCCACCCCCACGTCCGGGCTTCTCTTTTCTCATTCTCCAATTCAAGGCCTGTGCATTTAAATACCTTGAAGGTACTCGATTCCAGCTGAACCAGCCAAAACTCAATCAAAATGGTAGAAGCTACTCTCGATAGGCAAGATGGGAAACACAAACACTTAAAAATTGCTGGTGGCAGTATAAATTGGTTTCAACCTTTCTGAAGAGAAAATATATAAGCGCTACAAAACTGTTCATCTCCTTTGACTCTGCCCTCCCCCTCTAGGGCCCCGGGCCCTGAGGGAATCCGCTGCCGGCCACGGGGCCGCGGGCCTTCCCTACTCGCGGTGGGTCGGTTGATGCTTCTGCAGCGCTGACCGCCTCTTGAACACGCGGCCACACTTGCTGCACTCGCAGCGTCTTGCTCCGCTGTGGGTCCTCCGATGGCGACTCAGGCCGGAGCTCCGGCGGAAGGCCTTCCCGCATTTGTCGCACTCGTAGGGTTTCAGTCCGCTGTGGATGCGCCGGTGTTTGATCAGGTCGGAGGGCCCCCGGAATGCCTTGCCGCAGTCGCCACACGCATAGGGCCGCTCCCCGGTGTGGATGCGCTGGTGCTCCAGGAGGCTGGAGCTCTGCCGGAAGGCCTTCCCGCACTGGCTGCACTCGTATGGCTTCTCGCCCGTGTGGATCCGCCGATGCTTGGTGAGCTCTGAGCTCCTCCGGAAGAGCTTGCCGCAGTGGGGGCAGCCGTAGGGCTTGGCCCCGCTGTGGATGCGCTGGTGCTCGGCCAGGCCGTTGACCCCTCGGAAGGACTTGCCGCAGTCGTCGCAGTCGAAGGGCAGGTGGCCGGTGTGCATCCGCTGGTGCTTGAGAAACTCCTGGCGATCCAGGAAATCCCTGCTACACGTCTTGCAGGCAAAGGGCTTCTCCGAAGTGTGCAGCTTCTGATGGCGAAAGAGGTGGGTGTTGACTTTGAAGGAGCGGCCGCATTCCTCGCAGTCAAAGGGCTTCTCGCGGCTGTGGACGCGCAGATGCTGACTGAGGCCCGCATTCTTCTTGAACCTTTTCCCACATTCTTCACACTCGAAGGGCTTCGCCTCCCTCTCCATTTGCTCCCTCTTCTCCACGGCCTCGTCAAGGGCCCGGCTGGGGCCCGGCCGGGGCTCTGCCGCCACGTGGCTCTTCCGGTGCTCGTTGAACTCAGACACCCCGCGAAAGGCCTGCCCGCAGTCGCCGCACTCCCAGCCCTTTTCCTCACTGTGAATTCGCTGGTGCTGCACGAGGAGGACCTTAAGCCGAAAGGCATCCCCACACTCTTTACATGCAAAATGATGTTCTACAGGTAGATTCTGGGGGCTCCCTCCCCTCCCCTCAGAGTCCCCGTTCTGTTTGACCTCAGGGCTGTGCTCGCTGGCCGTCGGGGAGCTAGTGGACGCCATCTCCTGTGACTGGGCGACTTCACCCATCCTCGGCGGCTGGGTCACCCAGATGCTTTCTGAAATGAAAACCACAAGACACTGCACTCTGCCGAGGCGGAAGGAAGGAGGTTACTCTCCTTTGTCAACAATCACTTTCCTCCTGAGACAGCTGCCGAGCATCGGGTCTGGGGGCCACTGGGGCAGGATGGTGGCTCCCCACCCAGCTGGAAACAAGCGTGGGAGATGGAAGGGGCATGAGGGCCTGATTGCTGGATGCTCCCTGTCAAGGTGACTGAGGGGCAGGCACGCCACTCCCACCCCAAGGGCTCACCTGGGCCTCCCCAACGATGCCCTGACATTTCTTCAGGTTTTCTTTTTTACTCACCTGAATGCTCAGCTCGGTCCACGCGAAGGGATGGGTCTGAATTGCACCAGGTGAGAGACCAAGTCAGGATTCAAAACAGGAACTCCTGCTTGTGGAAAAGGAAACAAGCTATGGCAGCATCCAGAGATGACATCAGGATGGGGTAGGAATGGCTCAGGGCCTTTGAAGGGGAGAGCCTTTCAATCCCCGAAGGCTGGGTTGGCTGTTCCCTTAGGCAAGTCATTCCTCCATTTAAAATGCCTTTCCCAACAGTCGGCTCCTTCCAGGGGCTGTGGATGAAGCAAGCTCTGGCCCCATCTGGGTACCAGTTTGTCTTCCTGAGGAGCTGATCCTCCCTTTCCCCCATCTGCCCTCCTCAAGGTCTGCACCTTGAACTTGGGGTTCTTCCATAACTGTCAAAGCTGACCCCTGGCAGTCTCTCCTCCGAATAAGCCTCCCCACCTCACCACGTGCAGCCCCTGATGGTGCAAAGGAGCTTGCTACGTCAACCTCCCTCAATGGTAAACTACGGTAAAGTTGCCATGAAATTTACATAATTTGTGGGTTAAAAAAGTATTTAATTAGGTGGCAGGAAGGGTGTACCAGTTTGTCTTCCTGAGGAGCTGATCCTCCCTTTCCCCCATCTGCCCTCCTCAAGGTCTGCACCTTGAACTTGGGGTTCTTCCATAACTGTCAAAGCTGACCCCTGGCAGTCTCTCCTCCGAATAAGCCTCCCCACCTCACCACGTGCAGCCCCTGATGGTGCAAAGGAGCTTGCTACGTCAACCTCCCTCAATGGTAAACTACGGTAAAGTTGCCATGAAATTTACATAATTTGTGGGTTAAAAAAGTATTTAATTAGGTGGCATAGGAAGGGTGGGAGGGAGGGAGACGCAAGAGGGAAGAGATATGGGAACATATGTATATGTATAGCTGATTCACTTTGTTATAAAGCAGAAACTAACACACCATTGTAAAGCAATTATACTCCAATAAAGATGTTAAAAAAAGTATTTAATGATAGTGGCTAGTTTGTTCTAATTTCTTTCCCAATGAAATACCGAGGGGCCTTCTTTCTATGCCATTAGGAGTTGGGAGGGACACCTGCTACTTTGAGATGTCGGGTGTAGCAGACCCTCTCTATTTCCTCACAGCCCATTCCCAGGGAGCATAAGCCCCTGGAAGGTGAGCTTGTGTAACGCTATGCCAGGTGCCCCTTATCCTACTCCCAGCTTCGTAGGACCATGAAGCTGGTGGCAAAGCTTGTGGAAGGGCTGGGGGCATCCTTACCCACAGAGGTCACATTCCTTCAATATGCCGGTGTCCTCTGCTCAGGATCTAGCCTCAGCCACTCCCTTTGAGGAGGTACTGTGCCATGTCACCAAATGTCACCGGATCCTGAAAGAATTCCCAGGGAAAATCTGTCCTTCCATCCACTCTAGAATGAGGCAAGGGCAGTGCCACTAACCCCAGGGATGAGAGGTGAGAGTCTGAAGTGAGCGTGCATTGCTAACACGGAAATATAACTACAAGCCTCAAGAAGTGCTAGAAAGAGAAGCTGACCACGTGCCAAGAGACCTGGGCCGTGGCCCTGGCTCCCACTGTCCTCCCAAGGGACTTCAGTTCAATCACTTTCCTGGATTGAAACGCAGCTCCCCCATCGGTACGATGGGAATTACAAGCCCAGCAGGCAACCATTCCTTGGCAGACTCCGGGGAGAGAAGCAGAGAGAGGGAGGGAAGGCGGCAGCTGGAGTTCAGGCCCTGCTGTGTGTCATGCTGGGGCAAGAGACAGAGTCCAAGGCCAGAATCAGGGAGCAGTGACAGATTCCCAAGCCAGACTGAAGGAAGCACAGCTCACCTGGGCCTCCAGCACCCCAAGGAGGCCTGCCAGGACTTGGTTTCCCAGGAATCCATCTTGTGGAAGGGCAAGACCCTGTCGGGCAGGCAGAGCTAAGGAAAGTGAAAAGAGCCGTGAGTGACAGCAGCCCTGCCTCTGGGTCCCGTGGGATGAGACTGGTGATTTCCTTTTCCCCTGCTTTAAATTTTCTTGAGTCTTCTCTTGCACAGAGGCTGAATGACAAGCCAGAGCATGGATATACCTAACAAAATGCATCCCAAACAGTGGGGAAAGTGGGCTGGCAGAGAACTGATACAGGCAGGCCAGAGGGAACCCAGACAAGACAAATGAATGTTAGCCCAGGCACAGGCAGGAGAAGACAAACTCAGACCAAGAGCCAGTGGCAGGGAGACTGGCTCTCAGAGACAGGTCGGCCACAGGCCTCCTAGCAGTAGGCCTTGTAGAGTTCAATGCTCACACTGCACAGGAAGGAAGCATCCCCAAAAGAACATCAGAAGAAATAACTAGGAAGTGAGAGATCCTTCTCAACTTTGTAGGGGCAACAAAAAACCAGACTGGGCTACTGGAGGGAAGAGACATAACAGAGCAGGAGTCAGGGCTTCCTGACTAGCAGTTAAGGCCCTCTGAAGGCCACACTCCACCCCACCGAAACAGTTCACCAGGTGACAGCTTGCAGACAAGAATGTTTCTGTGATATATTTGACAAAATGAAAAGTTGAACAAAATACCTGGAAAAAGACACCTCCAAAAAAAAAAAAAAAAGATCTTCAAAGACTAAGTTGCTAAATAAAGGATCTGAAGCACATGTGTAAGTTGCCTTTGTCTTTCAGATCCCACCACAGGTGTCCATGCATCGCAGGCCTCCTACTTCAGTGAGTTCACAGAAACAGGAACACAGTTTCTATTCTGATGTCAGGTCAATTAGGTTCACAGTTATATGAAAAGGAAGCATTTTTACACTAGCTCAAGGAGTACAGAACCCAGATACTCCAGAAATACTTTTACGTAAAATTAGATGTTATGTTAAAAGGGTTGGACAGAGACTTCCACTTCTGGCCATGATGGAGTAACAAGGAACAGACTTAATGATGTCGTGCCATAAATAAGTAGAAAACTGGACAAAACAGATGTGAAACAACAGTGTTTAGATATTGGACAGCAGGCAGCACAGGATCATGATCCTTGAGAGAAGAGAAACAAATGAGGTGAAGCTTTATCAGTGGCCCAGATCTCTTCCTGGAGGCAATTTCCAGATTGAGAGTATAGGGAAGGGGGACCCAAACAGAGCTTGGTGGCTTTATTATCAACACAGACCAGCGTTCAGAGAAGCTGAGGCAGAACAGAGTTCCAGAAAAGAGGGAGCTATACAGAGAAAAAGAGCTCCAAAAAACCTGTACAAGGCTCCCCTTTAGTCTTTCTTAACTACTAAGCCATGCATGCATAGAGTGAAACTCCCGAAGACTAGGAAACGAATGACCAGGAAGCTGTAAGTTCAACAACTCCTAGGACACACAAAGGTAGGGAGGTGTTCAGGGTCTAACCAACCAGAGCAGGGAGTCCTCAGTGATCATGTGGGGTAGTCAGTAGAGAATCAGAGGGGCCATACCTTAGTAGTAGGACTGATCAATCCCTGGAGCCACAGCTACCCTGGATCTGCTCTAGAAAAACTTGGAAGTAGGCCTTGAAGGGATGAAACTATTCCACAAATAACTACCTCCCAAAACAAAGTCCAACAATTTTCACAGTGAAACAACAAAATCCAGACACTCAACAACATAATCTCTACAATGTTCAACATCCAATAAAAAATTAAGTAAATGTCAAGAAGCAGGAAAATGTGACTCATGGAAAGGAAAATAATGTCAATAGAAACACTCAGAAATGATCACTGACAGAACTCACGGACAAGGATAACAGCTAGTTTAACAATGTATAAGTATTTAAAGAAAAACAGGAACATAATGAAAGAAATGGATGACATAAACAAGAACCAAATGGGACTTATTGAGGTGAAAACTGTAATATTTAAAATGAAAATTTCATTGGATGTGATTAACAGCAGATTAGACACAGCCCTCTCCTCCCTAAAAAATTAGAAAATTTGAAGACATAGCAATAGAAATTATCCCAAATTTTGATCAGAAAGAAAAACATATTTAAAAAACAGAGTCTCAGTGACTTGAGGATAACAGAAAGTGGTCTAACACATATGTAACTGGAATATGAGAAGATGAGGAAAAGGAGGAGGGGGATAAAAGTATAATTGAAGAAATAATGGTTAAAATGTATTGCTTTCTAAATTTGATGAAACCTAGATCCAAGAAGCCCAATTACCCCCTAGCAAGTCTAAACAAACAAACAAAAAACAAAACGAAAAAAACCCAACAACCCCACACATGTACACTAAGACACATCATAATCATATTGCTGAAAACTAGTGATAAAGAGAAAATCTTAAAGCAGCCAGAGGGAAAAAAGATGTTATATACAGAGGAGCAAAGATAAGAATAGCTGCTAACTTCTTATGAGAAAATGTGCAAGCCAGAAAACAACTGAATGACATTTTTAAAGTGCTAAAGGAAAAAAAAAAAAACATGTCAACTGAGACTTCTATATTCAGGGAAAGTATCCTTCAAAAACAAAGGCAAAATAAAAACTTTTTTAGACAGAGAAAAGCTGAAAGAATCTGTCACAGGCAGACCTGTACTACAAGATATAGTAAAGAAAGTTCTTCAGGTGAAGGGAAATGATACCAGATGGAAACTTGGATCACAAAGGAATGAAGAACATCAGGAATGTAAATATGTGCAGAAATATAAACACT